CCTCCCTCCCTCCCTCCCTCCCTCTGAGACAGGGTTTCTCTGTGTAGTTTTGGTGCCTGTACTGGATCTCGCGCTGCAGACCAGGCTGGCCTCGAACTCACAGAGATCCACCAGGTTCTGCCTCCTGAGTGCTGGGATTAAAGGCGTGCACCACCGCCGCCTGGCCCTTTCTTTCTTTCTCTTTGTTAATTTTTAAAAACAGGGTCTCACTATGTAGCCCTGGCTGGTCTGGAACTTGCTATGTACCAGAATGTCCTCAAACTCAGAGATAACCACCTGTTTCTGCTTCCTGAGTACTGCTATTAAAGATGTGCATCACCAAGTCCAGCTCAATATTTTCATTATTTAAATATTTTTATTTTATGTGTATAGGCATTTTACTTGCATGTATATGTGTGTATCAGGTTCATGTCTGGTGCCCACAGAGGCCAGAAAAGGGTGTTAATCCCCTGGAACTGGAGTTACAATTGTGAGCCTCCATGTGGGTGCTGGGAGTCAAACCCAGGTCCTCTGGAAGAGCAGCCAGTGCTCTTAACCACTGAGCAATCTCTCTAGCCCTGGGTTCAATATTTTTCTATTAAAAATTTTATGCATGTGGTATGTGTGTGTGTGTGTGCTCATGCATTTGTATGTCTCTGTGTGTATATATGTGTGTTTGTCTGTGTGTGCATATGGAGATCAGAGGACAACCTTGGCCATTATCCTCAGAAATGCTGTTCACAATTGGGTGATGGTGGTGCATGTCTTTAATCTCAGCACTTGGGAGGCAGAGGCAGGTGGATCTCTGAGTTCAAGGCCAGCCTGGTCTACAGAGCTAGTTCTAGGATAGCCAGGACTACACAGAGAAACTTTGTCTTGAAAAACCAAAGAGAAAGGAAGAAAGAAAGGAAAGGAAAGAAAGATGCTGTTCACTTCCTTTAGACAATGTTTTGGTTAGTTTTTACTGTCAATCTGACACAGCCTAAGATCACCTAGGAAGAGGGAACCTCCGTTGAGTAATTGCCCAAGTCAGACTGCTTGTGAGAAACTGTCTTGACTGATGATTGATGTGGGAAGGCCAGCCCACTGTGGGCAGCGCCACTCCTAGGCAGGTGAGCTATGTAAGAAAACAAGCTGAGTCTGAGCCAGAGAGCAAGGGAGGAAGCAGTGTTCTTCCATGGTTTCTGCTTTAGTTCTTGTTCGTGTTTGTGCTGTGACTTCCCTCAACGATGGACTAGGACCTAGAAACATAAGGTGAAATAAACCCTCTCCTCCTCCAAGTTGTTTTGGGTCACGGCATTTATCACAACAGAAAGCCAGCTCGAAGAGATAGGGTCTCTCGTTGGCCTGGAGTTCACCATTTAGACTAAACGGAGTGCCCCGGGGTCCCTTGTCTCCATCTTCCTAGTGTTGGGGTTATTGGTGTGCCACCACACCTAGCATTGCTTCGTGACTCTAGGACTTGGATGCAGGCCCCCACATTCGTGAGGCAAGCGCTTTAAGATGAACTCAGCTAGCTCCCCAGACCTAGTTACGTTTCTTTGGTTGTTTGAAACGGGGTCTTACTATGTGGCCCTGGCTGGCCTGAAACTCACTTATAAAGTCCTGGCTGGCCTCCAGCTCACAGAGATCCACCTGCCTCTGCCTCAGAGTGCTGGGATTAAAGGCATGAGCCGCCATGTCTAGTCCAGTTTTAATTTTAATTTTTACTTTTTAAAAATATTTATTTTATTTTATTTTATTTTTTGGTTTTTTGAGACAGGGTTTCTCTGTGTAGCTTTGCGCCTTTCCTGGAACTCACTTGGTAGCCCAGGCTGGCCTCGAACTCACAGAGATCCGCCTGGCTCTGCCTCCCGAGTGCTGGGATTAAAGGCGTGTGCCACCACCGCCCGGCAATTTTTTTTAATGTATGTATGTGTGCCTGGGTGTGTGCATGGCACCACATTCATGTAGTGCCCTGGCAGGTAAGAAGAGGCAGGCATCAGATCCCACGGAACTGGAATTATGGATGATTGTGAGACACCATGTGGGTGCTTGGAGTGAACTCAGGTCCTCTGCAAAAGCAACTAGTGCTCTTAACCTCTGAGTCGTCCCCCCAGACCCTTAACTTTAAATTTTGATATGGTTTTAAACTATGAACAAATTTACCTTACTAGCATGAAGAACTCTCATATGTCTACTTAGATTCTCTAATTGTTTTCATTTTACTTGTTAGTTTCTTCCTTTGGTCTTCCCTCTGTCACCTCTCGTGGTGGGTGAAAGGAAAATGGTCCCCAAAGGCTCATGTATTTGAACGAGCCTAGCTGTTGTTCCCTAGTTGGTGGAACTGTTTTGGAAGGATTAGCAGGTGTGGTCTTGTTGGAGGAGATCTATCACCGAGTCTCTCATGCTCTCTGCCAGCTATGGGAAAGTTAGCTTGTGGAGAAGATAGAAGCAGCTCTCAGCTACTTCACCCTCTCAAACTGTAAGCAACCCTCCAATTAAATGCTTTCTTTTATGAGTGTCCTTGGTCATAGTGTCTCTTCTCGGCAATATGAAAGGAACTAAGACATCCTTTGGAAGTACAATAGGTCCTCCTTATCTGTGCCAGATTAAGAGTAAACAAAAATTGAAAAGAGGCCAATCCTGACCACCTTAGTTCATCAATCCCCAGGACTCATGTGGCAGAATGAGAGAACTGACTCCTAAAAGTTGTCTTCTCATCTCTACAAGCTCACGGTGGCATGTGCACACAGACATGCATGCACACATACAATAAATAAAAGGAATAATAATAAGGAATAATATAAAAACCTAATAATAATAATAATAATAATAATAAATAATAATAATAATAATATAAAAACCCCTAGCACACCATAAAAGGTTCTGAAGAGCTCTCACCTCCTACGGTGATTCTTAAAGTCTCTGAAGACTTGTTGTTTTGTCCAATCATCCCTCGGCAGAAGTAGGAGCCGCTGTCCTTTTGTGTAGCTTCTGGAATGCGGAATTCAGTATTCTCGTGGAAAAATTTCTTGCCTCTGCCGTTCTGTAAATAGGTGACTTTATATACACGTTTGTTTTTCCAGCTGTGGCAGTTCAGCCGAATGGTGTCCCCCTCCTGGAACTCAGGCCGCTGAGTGGTCTGAAGCAACAGCCAGCCTGAAAGACAGAGAGGTCTTAGAGCCGGAGGTCAGACTCTGCGAATCTTCCGAAGGGGAAACTCGGAACTACTCGATCCTGGATGGGGAAGCAGACTGAGGATTGCTAGAATGAAGAAGCGGGAATGAGGGAGGTGAGAAGCGCAGCTGAGGACAGCTGCGGGTTCCCTGTGTGCTGGGCTTAGGTTTGGTTTGGCAGGGGTAATAAGGACTCACAGTATTTCTAAACCAAAGGGTAAAAATTACATTTAAAAATGGCTTTCTAACATCTCTAAGGTTAAATAGTGAGCATTGGAAGCAGATTCTGAATCTCTCAAACAGCAGCATACACTGTTGCCTGTAGAAAGCCTACTGATGATCTCATCCCATGCCCCCAGTTGGCATCAGCACAACCACATACGCTGCTGTATAATAAACCACCAAGACACCTGTCAACTGTTGATGCAGGTGTCAGTCCCAAGCCACTTTTTATATGTTTTAAATTTTGAAATTCAAGTGTATCTGCCGTAGCATAAATAAACACTAGACTGTACCACACACACATACACACACACACACACACACACAAAAAAAAAGTTTTCCGGCCTTGCCCACAGTCAGGACAAATCTCTGTCACCTGCCAGTCCCACAGCCGCTCAGACCCAACCAAGTAAACACAGAGACTTATATTGCTTACAAACTGTATGGCCGTGGCAGGCCTCCTGCCAACTGTTCCTTTATCTTAAATTAACCATTTCCATAAATCTATACCTTGCCACGTGGCTGGTGGCTTACTGGCGTCTTCACATGCTGCTGGTCATGGCGGCGGCTGCAGCGTCTCTCCCTGCCTTCCTGTTCTTTTATTTCTCCTCTCTGTTAGTCCCACCTATACTTCCTGCCTAGCCACGACCAATCAGGTTTTATTTATTGACCAATCAGAGCAACTTGACATACAGACCATCCCCCAGTACAGCCAAGTGCAGACCATCTCAGACACCTGCACTCAGGCCCATGGTCCTAATCATCCTCTATGCAAACCTGCTGGGTAACGCCACAAGGAACCCAAGAAGGGCTCCCACAGGACATACATTAACATCCCACAGCACACACACACAATGGCTTTCTAGCTGGGGGGTGGTGGTGGTGGCAGCGGCGGCGGCGGCGGCGGCGGCGGTGTTGGCGGCAGCGGCACACGCCTTTAATTCCAGAACTTGGGAGGCAGAGGCGGGGGGATCTTGGTGCGCTCTAGGCAGTCTAAAAGGGAGTTCTAGGATAGCCAGAACTGTTACACAGGGAAATCCTGCCTCTAAACAAAACAAAACAAAACAAAACAAAACAAAACAAAACAAAAGCTTTCCACATTAAAAAAAAAAAGTTGGATTTCAAAAGACTCTTGCAGCAGTCAGGATTAAGGAGACCAGTGTCCATGGAAGGGCTTACAAAGATGGTGTAGGAACCCTCACTGTGAAGTCAGGAGGAGGGTAGTGGGGGGAGGGAGGGAGGGAAGAAGAAGAGGAGGAGGGAGGGAAAGGTGAATGTTGGCTGGTTTTTGACAGGCTATGGGGCCTCAGGGAGACCATGACGAGCATAGCTTTGAAGAGAGAAATGACAGCCAGGTTGCCTTCTCTCACAATCACCTCAGGTAATCAGACTCCACAGAGAGAAGGGGACGTCAAGGTAGGAGGGGACCTGGGGAAATAAAAATGACATGTCGAAAAGTATCAGTGGCAGGTGCAGATATTAATGGGACAATGCACAGAAAAATGAAGGATGTGTTTTTGAAGATTAACAGGAATTTTCACAGGAGGTGTAGGATGAAAGGAAATTAAAATATTTTCCTTTTTATTGATTTTTTTTTTCCAAGACAGGGTTTCTCTGTGTAACAGCCCTGGATGTCCTGGAACTCAGTCTATAGACCAAGTTGGCCTCTGCCTCCCGAGTACCGGGATTAAAGGCATGCACCACCATACCTGGTTCCTTCTTACTGATTTTCAAAATACAACCCAAATGATGTTTATAGTAAGAACAAAGCAAAATATTTGGTAGCTTTTAAATTTTGCTGCCCAGTGCTAAACAAAATTGGTAGAACATTTTGATGGAGATTCTTTACCCAGGAAAACTTGCCAAGCAGAGAGCAATTTCTAATATTTAATAAGGTAGGTCATTTATCAGTGAAGACAGTATACAAGGAGCCGAGGAGAGAAAAACAGCATTTTAAGGCTAGCCTAGACTACATAGTGAATTCCAGGCAATGCTGAACTACATAGGACTTATTATTTTAAAAAAAGAGAATGAGAGCAGTTCAGCTGAGAGCCATTGGGATGAGGACACAGAAGCTTCCAGTCTGAGGAAACAGGACCAGCTGAGGAATTGGCAAGGTGAGATAGCTGTGGCTTGTTCTGTCTCTCTGATCTACCAGCATGGACCCCAATAACTCGCCTCGGGTTTGATTTTATTAATAAGAACTTTTAAGATT